GGGGAGGACGCCTTCGCGCTGCGGCCCGGGGGGCCCCCAGGGGTGTTTTTTCTTTGCGTGGAGGGGCCCCTGGACAGAGAAAGCCGCGAGCTGTATGAGCTGCGATTAGTGGCCACGGATGCGGGGTTCCCGCCCCTGAGCACCCAGGAGACGCTGCTGCTTCGGCTCTCCGACGTGAATGACCAGCCACCTGTCTTCAGCCAGCAGCACTACCGGGCCTCTGTGTCCGAGGCCACGGCCCCGGGCACCACGGTGACGTGGGTCAGCGCCTCCGACTCCGACGAGGCTGGCACCGACCATGCCCGGCTGCGCTACGAGCTCATCCAGCTCTCAGCTCTGTGCAACCCCGAGGCTTTGCGGCCTGGCACAGAATGTGAGCCTGCGTTCACCATTGACCCCCAGAGCGGGGCGATCAGCACCGTCCGGACTCTGGATAGAGAGGTCCAGGAGACTCTGGAGCTCCGAGTGGTGGCCCAGGACCTCGGAGAGCCCCCCCTCTCTGCCACCTGCCTGGTCAGCGTCACCGTGGACGATGTGAACGACAACGAGCCCGTCTTCCATCGGCAGGTGTACGGTGTCGCCCTGGCAGAGCACACCCCTGTGGGACACTGCTTTCTCCAGGTGAGTGCATTCAGACCTGTTGCGAAGACCCTGATCTGGCTGAGAAAGCGGGGGTCACAGTGGGGTGAACGCAGTGGTCCCTGCGCAGCCTTTCAGCCAGGGTCTTGGATGGCGCATGGTCTCAAAGGCCCTTTCTCACCCATGTGACATTGGCATCTCCATTTTTGTAATGGAAGCTCAGTGTCTTTAATGCTGGAGGTGTGTACCCCGATTTACTTGGGATGAATCACCCACTGTAAACCTTTCCTGCAATAGGTGATGTTTTAATACTTTTCAGCTCCTTTTTTCGGTATCCCCGGGGAGTAGGGCTGGCCTAGTCAACGGAGTTTTCAAGGGACCACGTGTATGTGGGAATGTTTCCAGTAACTACGGTCTCCTTCCCTGTTCTGTCTTGTAGAGATTGGAAAGGTTGGTTGAAGGTCTCGGGTCACTGTAGTCAACCTGTGCTGCCAGGGGTGCATTGAGGATTCGGAGCAGCAGTGGGGCCCATTCATCCTTTATAAAACGGGGCAGTAGCCCTTGCCTTTTGATTTGGGTTGTCACCTTTTAGAGTCCTGAAGACCTCTCCTTGCCAGTTGGAATGCTGTGTTTTGCTAGCCAGCCCTCTGTGTTACTTCTTAGTACTGGTGTCAGATGACTAGATCTCCAAGACTGATGTATTTATTCCAAGACTACTTGAGTAACTAAGTAGAAGCCATTTGCTAATGGGAGAAGGAAGCTCTAAACTAGAGTTTTGTTAGCCCTCAGCCTGGAGTGCTTTCAGACGTGTCTTGCAGGCTTTCTGGTTCTCAGTTGTAGGCTGAAGGCTTAGTTTTATAAATTATGTGTCAAATAATAATCTTTGGATAAATGAGGTGTTACTGTATTGTGAAAATAGATTTCATGATTGCTTCCAACTTTTTTGTCCTTCGGGTATATGGGCGACAGTAATCTGCATGCTTTTGTCTAGTGTGACTGGCAACTCTCAGTTGCTGGATTATTAAGAGGTGGCTTGAAATTTAGTTACTGCTTGCTGCTGGGCAGACAAAGCCACAGATACCATGACTGACACTGTAAGTGTGTGTGCCTCCTCTCAAGCACTGTCTCATGATGCAGGTGAGTTGGTCATTCTCCATTTAAAACGGAGCCAGGCCTGGGAGTGACTGACTGATCATTCCACGAGCATCATGGAGCCCAGCTACGAGACCTCAGAGGCCCCGAGAGGGAGGCTGAGATGTGGAAAGGAGCCCGTGGATGTGCACTGACTGAGGATGGTTCTGCCATGGAGTTTCGACAGAGAAGTCGTAATAGATGAGAGATCCCGTGTGTGAGGTGATTTCCGTGGCTTGTTCCATCTAGAAGCCCCGAGGGAACTTGACATGAGTAGAGTAAAACCTGGATCCATCCGAAGGAAATGGTAGAAGGTGTTAACTATGACTGTTATCACCTGTCTTTAGAGTTGTTTTAGAAACTGTGATATGGCTCTGCCGTGAAGTGTGAATTTGCCCTGGAATGACTTGGTCTGTGGTAGACCCGTGATAGTGAGGTAAACTTGGTAGAAGCTGACGGAACCCATCCAGGTTGCCAGGTATTGCTAGCGATGGCACTAAATTGTACTGATTAGGATTTTGGGATGTTCCAGGGATCCAGCCTCTCAGGACTGGTGGAAGCTGCTCATTCTCTGGGCCCGGGTGGCCTCTCCACAGCAGCTGTGGGAACTTTCTGCATCCATGACCCCCTATCTGATTCTACCCCTTAATGTGCAGATGAGCTTCAAAGGAGTGTTTTCTATGTCATTCTCTCACTCATTCTTTGTATTACTTTGCAAAAGCTAACTTCCTCCATCTTGGATTTCATAGCCTCTTCTTTCTTCCAAGGTTTTATATGATGATATTGCATAGGTTCTTTATAACTGTGCTTTTTTTCTTGCACTTTTATTAGTTTTCCTGTTAGCCCTTGTATCTACTCCAGTATCTTCTGTCAAAATTAAACAATAACAGGGCCAGGGATTTAGCTCAGTGATTCCAGTGCTTGACTCGAAAGCTCAAGGTCCCTGGTTTAATCCCTGGTGCCCCTCCCCAAATTAAACAGTAATAAATTAAAAACAACAGGAAAAGTTATCTCTAGAGTTCCTGAAAAGGAACAGTACCATATCATCTAATTTTTAGAAAAACCCTGGCAGTGAACCATTAGTGCTCACTCTTCCTCCCCAGTCTTTTTGGGGTTCTTTCACTCTTACTGCTGCCCTGCTGCTACATAGTACTTCCCACCCTTCCTCTCTTCAGAGAACCCTTTTATTTATTTATTTTTTTGGTTTTGGTACCCAAGATCGAACTCAGGACCTTGCACTTGCAAGGCAGCGGGTAGAACCACTGAGCTAAATCCCCGGCCTGGGGAACTCTTTTTATATTCTTGCGACCAGACCGGAGCTTTCCAGAGATTTTTAAGTATGAAGGAACTTAGGGAATTAACTCAGGCTACAAGAGAACCACTGGTAGCCTGGAATAAGTAACCTCCAGCTGCCCGAGGTTTCTATGTGTCTCGCCAGCTTGTGTCAGTATCTCCCAGAGTCACACATTGCTGGCTTGGTCCCCAAGCTGGGTGCTTTTCAGAGGTGGAGGAACTTTGATAAGAGAAGGGTTCAGGAGAGGTCTTTGGGTCTTTGGGTGTGCCTCAGAAGGGGATGGTTGGATCCACTTCCTGGCCACGGCTTTGCTTTGGCCTACACTCGAACCATGAGATGATGCCCCAGACCCAAAGCAACACAGACTGAAACCTCTAAAACCGAGCCCAAACAGACCTCTTCATGTTGTCAGTTTCTCATCTCAGGTGTTTGTTACAGTAAAGGAAAGCTAACTAACACAACTTTGATGGGAGCGATCCTAGATTGCTCATTGCTTGCTGTCTATCTGCCTCGGTGTGGTGTGGAAAGCCCCTTCCGTTCCGAACAACCCTTTCTCTGTCTTGATGCTTTCGTGGTCTGGGTAGAGAGGAATTTCCAGCGTGCAGATGCTCTAGGTTTCCCTTCCCAGTTCCGTGTCTGGCCGAGAGAACTCCTCTGCCTCAAATTACCGTCCCAAAGTCTGACCTTGCCATCTGGACCAGACTTCCAGCTTCTGGGGGGTGGTGAGCTCTGGCTTCAGCAGTGAGCGGGTGACAAGGACAGAGCCCACGGTCTTGTCCTCTCTGCATCCCCTCTGTCGGCCTTCCTGCGCGAATGGCTGTGCTGACCTCCATCTGCTCACCGCCCCTTCCTTCTGCCCTGTTCTGACCTCAGTTTTAACCTCCAAGGGCTGCCCTTGTCAGATGCCAGCGCTCTGCCTGGGGCATTCTGGACCGTTGCCCACCCCTCCCCTTCCCAGATGCATCTTCTGTGCTGCCTTTGTCTCCTCGTGCTCTCTTTCCACCTCTCCCTTGCCGGTTCCTCCTTTTCCTTTTGTGCCACCAGACACTCAGCGTGGCAGAGGCATTTTTGAAGCTTCTGTCTTCCTCTCACGTTTCTGCTTTCTCCACTCTCTTATATGGTACCAGAATTTCTTTTCTTTTTCTCATCTTATTTCTCTTTCCCTCCCTTCCTTTCTTCCTTTTTTTTTTAATATATCTCCAAGGTCAAACTGCCTTCAGATTCACATTTATCTATCTGATATGCATCTCTACCTGAGTGTACCTTTGACATCTGAAGTCCTCTGTTTCCCAGTTTGAGTTTATTCCCTTCTACTGTTCTCCTTCCCCTCCCTTCTTCCATTTTTTCCTTCTATCCTTCTGCCCTCCCTTCTTCCCTCTCGCCCTTCCTTTCCCCTGTTCAGGCAGCTCCTTTTTGCAACTTCTATTTTGGCCACTGTATCCTTTCACTGGAAATGTTTACATGTTTGGCTGTGTCTTTGTGTACATGTTTGCTGTGCTGGGCTGGTTGGGTTTTGCATTGTTGAAAACTGCATGAGTAAAGAGTAGGACACTGCCCTGTTTCCGTCCATTCAGGAAAAAACTGGTGTTGAGCTCCCAAACTGGGGCACGGGAGAGAGAACCTCTCTCCCAGTTTGAGGGGCCTGTGGGATGCTACCTGTGAGGTAGCACGCGTGGAAAGACTGGAAGATACAGGAAGGCCTTATTCCCACCATGTGCCATCATCTGGAAAGACCAAACTGTCTTCTGCCCGATTCCTGTTATCTTCTGGGATTGTTTCCATTTTTTTAAATGACTTCCCCAGCCTTTAGCAAAGATGCTCCTTTCTATTTAAAAATTTTTTTTTCTGTCCTAGGGATTGAACCTAGGCCTTTACACTGCTGCACTCCCCAGTCACCCCTGCTCCTTTTTTGTGAGATGTGGTCTGGGTAATTTTCTCAGGCTGAGCTCGAATTTGTGATCCACCTGGCTCAGCCTTCCAAGTGGCTGAGATTACAGGGATCTGCCACCTCCCCTGGTTTCGGAAAAGTCTCGCTAAATATGTTAGCTCTGTCTTAATCACACTGTGAGGATAAAAATGGAGAATGTAAAAAGCCTCCTAGGAGGTGGTAGCATTAAAGGGAAGGGTTGTTAGCCAGCTTTAGTCAAAGTGTCCAGGGCCAACAGCGATGGTGGCAGAATCAGCAAGGAGTGAGCTTCAGGGCTGTAGGAAAAACATGAGCACTTTTCTCCGAGAAGCCCTCCTAGTGCAGTGTGGAAAGTAAGAGGCTTTCCTGAGATAGAAGGTGCTTCCTACAGTCTTAGTGACGATGCTTTGGTGATCTCCGAATTTGACCATGGTAGTTGACAAGGCCTCATCATCTCATGTACCTGGCTGAGGGTCAGGTTAATGTCTGGCTGAGTCAGGAGTGCCGCTGCACCCATCTCTTATGAGAAAACTCCGAGGCCTATTAGGGCTGGAATAATCCGCCCTCTTGGTGTGTAGACATCTGACCTTAGACAGATAAACTGTTCCTCTCAAAAACCTCTAAAGTCCTGAGTCCATTTGCCTCAGCCCCTAAAGCATACAATCCAAAAGCTAACATGTGGCCAATAACAATGTGCCAAATATCCCGACT